TACAGCCTCGGTCCTGTTTCTTCAGCCTGAGTCCTGGATCTATAAACATAAACATTCAGTAAAACCAAAATTTTAAATCTTAGAAAACAGTCTCTTACGTTTACTTAAAATCTAAATTGTCATACAGCCGTCTTTGAACTATATAGATATGAAAATAACAGCACTGTTTGGAGTCAGCACCATAGACAGCGCCTCGCTACTTCACTCAGGGGAGAGCAAAGTCTGTGAAAATCTGATCATCTAGAAACAATATGTAAACAGAAATATTTACTTCAAACACTTTTACAGCAGTACTATACTTGTTACTGATTATATATATATATTATATGAGTCTCAAAACTGTCCTTATTGAACTAATATTTTATATACATATTTCTGTATTATACTGCATTTTGGTACTTCTATCTGAACTTCTTGTAGAGTCATTATTATGTGAGGTAGTGCTACATTTCCATATTTGGTGTATTTGGAATAAACTAATCTAAATCTAAACCTTTTTTACACAAAGAGAACCGTGTCTGGAGTCAGTACCACGGACAGCGACATATCGGCTTCATTCACAGCCCTGTGTGAATGTGATCCTCAGAAACTGATCCTGGAACAAATATAAAACCACTGCCCATGTGCGGTCACTGGAGTTGAGTGACGCTGAGGACGATGTTAAGGAAGTATAAAAATATCATGTTTCTTTCTCAAGCGATCTCATTTATATTAAAGAGAATTCAATGAGCCATAAACACTTGGACTGAGTTTATACATTGATTGCAAGTAAATAATTTTAACTCTAAATCAGCCTATTATCTTTATACATACAGGTAATAAATATGGGATTCTCTGGGAAGTAAATATCATTAAAACATGAGGGATAACTTATGTAACTTAAGTCAGAGATTGTGTACTTAATTATAATAATAGATTATAGACTGCTTCCTTATCACACAGATAGATAGATGGAAAGATAGATAGATACTTTGATCCCCTTAGGAGAAATGCAGGTGTCCAGTAGCAGCAAAAATGCAAAATAAAATTGATCATTCTAAAAATCTAACAATAGTAATACACAAGATGACAGCCAAAAAATAGTCAGGGGTTTCTCAGCTGATTTAGACTAATTTTGGTGTTCCGAGTCCGAATATCAGGTCAACTTTTTGAGATACAGCCACAGTGTTACGGATTATGTACGTCTACGTTATTATATATTCTGCTTATCAAATTTGATGGAGTAAATAAAAATTGAATGACTTTGGATATGTTGACTTTTATTTCTTGAGGAAAACAGAATTTGTTTTTACGCAAAATCGATTTAAAAAAATATTTCCGTAGCAAAAAATCCTGACCTGATTGAGCAAAACCAAGGTCATTTTCGGACTCAGAACATCAAAATTAGTCTAATTTAGCTGGAAAACCCTGGACTATTTTCAAAAAATATTGTTTTGTTACCCAGTGTAATCAGCAACAGCCCCTCAGGTCACAGGAGCAGAGATTTAGAAGCCACTGGGTGGAGCAGGACTGGTCACATAAAAAGAGATGGAGTAGCCCCAAAGTGGAGCAGGACGAGCCAGAACCACATGATTTTAGAAAGACCAAAAATCATGGTAAAGCTACTGATTTTATTTTATTTACTAGAGAGTTTAGTTTAGAGATATTCAGCCTGTGGCCTTGCCTTTAGCTTTGGCCGACTCCACTGATGTCTGCTGTTGTTGTGTCCTTGGGCAAGACACTTTACCCACTTTGCCCATAAGGAGCGTGGAAGTATGTTCGCTGCATGATGTATGTGTAATCATCCAAATGAAATTCTTCTTCTTCATCTTCTTCTTCCCTTATCTTGTGCTGTGTGGATCTCTTTAAAATAGGCCAAATTGTTTGTATTTCGGGAGGTTTGACAGAAGGAGTTAATGGCTGAGTGGAGGCAACTGTGACATCCAACAGTTTTATCTGGAAAATTCAAAAAGATGAACTGATCAGAGATTGCTGAACTGGTAAATCATCCAACTCAATTCAATTCATTTCACTTGGATTTGACCAAGCAGAGTTTGGCCAAGAGGTTTGTTGATATGTTTATGCCAGACCATTCATCCATGAAATCAGCAGCATGAGATCCAGACCCTCTCACATTGGTAAATACTTTTTGATCTTTCTAAAATCATGTGGTTCTGGCTCGTCCTGGAAGCAGAGAATGCCGACCACACTGACCTAAGGAGCTCTCATCGCTCCGGCTGTAGATTCCACCCAATGAGTATTTATACATATACGATCACGTGTTGTTTTCATCTGTTGTGCATCTCGTGGCTTCTCTCTGGCCTCGCAGTCGCCCGTGTGTGAAACATGGAGGCAGCGTCGGCCCACAAACGTTACCTCCGCTGTGCGTATGAGTCAACAGGAGGTCGCTGCATCCGCGGTCGCTCACCCAGAGTCCGAGTCCGGATGAGAAATCACTGTAACCTCTGTAATTGTTCAGCCTCAACCTTTAGCTCCGCTGCTAACTCGTGCATTACTGAGATTACGCATGTGTTTTTATGTGTTCAAATGTTTATGTCAAAGGGTTTTTCATGCAGTAGAGAGATCTTAGGAAACGACCATTACTTATTACTAAAAGCTAGCACTGAGTTGTGTGTGTAAATGATTTCGACAGTGTATGTAGGTACGTTTTTAGGATAATATTGAACATTTTAATGTAATGTATAAAGGCCTAACCAGGGACTGGAGTTGAAAATTAAGAAATAGCTAAATACTCTTTTTGCAGTTACAAGCTTGTTTTGTTCTATGATGACTTGCAATGTCCCTGTCAATTAAGTGGATACATACAAAAATAAATTATTATACATTGGTATTATTATGCAAGTATATTATTGTGAAAATGTATTACTGTACAGCAATATACAGTCTTTTACAAATGACATACATTTTAAATTGTCCATCCATCCATCCTTTTTTCTTCCGCTTCATCCATTGCCAGGTCGCGGAGGCAGCAGTCTAAGCAGAGGTGCCCAGACTTCCCAGCCACACACACTTCCTTCAACTTGTCTGGGGGGACCCCAAGGCGTTCCCAGGCCAGCTGAGAGACATAGTCCCTCCAGCGTGTCCTAGGTCTTCCCCGGGCCTCCTCCCGGTGGGACGTGCCCGGAACACCTCCTATTTAAGTTGATTTAAGCCAAAATCACTCTTAGGTGACTTTAATAAAGAAAAACTCTGGACCTCATGTCCATACTACAAGCTGTTCCTGTTTTATTGAGGTTGTGAACTAACCAAAGATTTACTTTGCACAAACTGCTGCAACAATGTCACATCAATAACCAAATCCTGTGGCTGAAGGCGCTGGATTAAAATCCATTGGGGTTTTCCCTGTGCAGGTTTGTATCTTGCCAGCAATGTAATAATGGTTTGTTGTTAGCTAGCGCTTAGCTTTGAGCCGGGGTAACTCTGAAAGCCTGATCATATGGGTCTGTAGCTCTGTGGTACAGCGACATGTTTAGAATGTATGAGATCCTGAGTCCAGCCCTCAGAATCTCAAACAGTTGTTATTGATCACAGCAGTCTGTCCATGTTGTTTGCTCATCGTTGGTTACGTCAAAAGCAAGAGTAAGTGGGAAAGGCGATGTGTTTGTGGCTTCGACCTCTGATACCAGCATGAACGGAGCTAAAAGCAACTCCAGGTCTGCTGTAGTTGAACGAAGCCAGGACATGTTTTACAAAGAGTATTTTTCACGACTGCAGAAGAGTTGAACATATGCGTCTCTCTTTCCCCTCGGCTGCACTAAAGTTTGTGGTCTCCAGGCAGGAGGAGGCAGGTCTCTGGTGAGTGGCCGGCTGTGTTTGGATATGAAGAGAAAAGCCCCATCTGCCTCCGCCTGACCCACCTGTCCACTGTGCTGCAGGGAAACCAGCTCCGACCTGCTCCACGCTCTCTCTGCAAACTCCACATTCACCTATTGTGACAACGCAGCAACACAAGATTCTTCTGTTTACACACAGGGAACTGGAGACGTCACAATCAGTTTCCATCCAGAGGTGTCCATGTTCTTTCTATGTGTTTGAGATTATTATTATTATTATTATTGTTGTTGTTGTTTTTATTATTATAATTTTTATTATTATTATCATTATTATTATTGTTGTTTTCATTATTATGTTTTTATTTATTTATTATTATTATTATTATTTTAAGTATCATTGACATTAAGTATTGCACATACACGCAAGTATCAATTTTTAAAAAAGCAACAATTCTGGCTTTTTACAACAAGAATACTGTCTTCAAATGAGTCAATTTTAAAACATAAGAAAACACAAATATTTTAACTATGTCATAAAATCTATTGAAACAGTTTGGTTCTATAATAGTATTTTTGGCCTCTGTCACATCAGCCATCAGCCCAAGGCATCAAATAGGTGCTGTTGTTGTTGTGGAAATTATGAATTATTAATTGTACAATACCATAAAAAAGAAAGAACAACATTTTCATATCAACAATTTTAAAAGGAGTAGGAAGAAGAAAAACTCATGCTACCTACACATTATGCATTTTCTTACTTTTGTTTTATTTAACAGTATTAAAATGATTAATTTCTATTAAGAGTCAGAACTTACATAAACATCAGATATTTATCTTACTTACCTTACTGTAAACAGTCATAATTTGAAGACACATTCAAAACCAGAAATGTTCTGGGATCTTGTCTTCAGCAATGTACCAATGTGCCTTGAACCAATGTTTCAACACTGTTTTGTTATTTATTTTAAATAAGCAGCACAAATAGTTACTTTCAGTAAAGTATGATGATTATTTATGATCTCAATGCTTTGTGTGATTGTTTGTATCATGTTTTATTCAGCACTTTGCGTTGCCTTGTGTATGAACTGTACTTTACACATTGAACTGTACTTTACACTTACCTTTGTTCCAAGTATCCAGAAGAAAACAGGTTTCCAAATGAGATGAAGAAGGCATGTTATATGTACTTTTCCTCTTGCAGTTGGAGACACACAACATGTTGTATTGATGAAGACAAACACTCAGACGTGGAGAGTTGGCGGTGCCCCTGGTCTGCAGCAGCCCTCGTGGATCTTTATCAAAGCCTGTGTTGTGAAGCGGAGCACATTCCCAGACTCCGATGGACGTGTCTGGAACAGTAAACTACAGAGCGAGTGGAGCGCACGGCGACTGCACCACGGCCTGTGGCGAAGGGTCCGGTCACACGGCACTAACTCAAAGAGACGGCCCCTCGCGCTCACATCATCTGCTCCGCTCTGCTCTGTCAGTCAGGACCAGGTCTGGACCCAAACGCTGCACAAAGGAGCTCAGACCAAAGAGTTCAGACCAAGGAGCTCAGACCAAGGAACTCACAACAAAGAGCTCACAACAAAGGACACACAAGCGACCACTTTGGACACAATCTTATAACCTCGTTGAGAAAGTAGTTTCAGCTCCATTCATGTTAATATAGATTTAGGTAATACATAGATAGATATATAGACAAATAGATAGATACATGTAGATAGATAGAATAAATGTAATCTAATAGATGGGTGGATGGATGGATGGAGGATGAATGGATTAGACATTACCGTTTTCTAACTGTTAGATTATCTCGTCGGTTGTTGAGATTTGACAACTTTGTCATTTCCTCCGAGAAGACTGCTGTTGTGATGTAGTTGTATTTGATAAGAAACAGTGCTAAAAATAACCAATTAACTGATCCAAAAATAGATATTTTGCTGCATACTTCATCCACATTGCCTTGTTTGAATGGTTCGTGGTCAGAGAGGCCAATCCCACATATTAGTTGTCTCGCTTTGTTTATATCACAAATTTACAACTAAAAGAGCCCAAAGTGACATACACTTCATAGTAGATGCAGGAGGACATTTCTGCACAGTGGTCCTCCCTCCTTCTATGAACCAATGACTTCTTTGTGTTATATAATATTTAATTTTCTGTGTTTGAACTGCTTGATTCTCTGATCTGTTGTTGGTGAATCACCACCTTTGCAAACTACTCCCAGACGATTCCTGGTGTGATTTAAGTCTGTACACAAATACGTTGCATTGAAATTAATTACCAGCACTGTATAAAAAAAGAAGAATGCGCTTTGCAAGTAACTAAATACGTAAGTAATGTACATTATAAGGATTTGGCCTGAAATGCCTGAATGCAACCTCAGTTCTGTTCTCCATCTGGGAACAATGTTTCCAGCAGTAAAAAGAAAGAAAGGCCATTTGTCTGGAATCTCGGTCCTAAAACGTTGCATTTGTTTGTTCCCTGTGTGATGACGTCCCGCAGCGTCTATCAAAGTTTTAAATTCACATCTGCCGCGTCGCAGGCTTTTACGACGGTGTGACTGTGATGGAATAGCAAACACGCCAATTCCAGAGTGAGACATCGAGCGCCGCCTGCTCAGACTGTCGGCCAGGCTTTTACGAGACCCAGCGTGAGACGGGATCAAATATAACGGACCCTGCAGCAGAAATGTGGCAAAAGAGACATTCGGCTTCTGCTTTCAAATGTGCAGAGAACTCTCTTAGCTAAAGACAATTCAATACAATTTATTCTTGTGTGGCCCTAAATAACAACAATAGTTTTCTCAGAGGACCGTACAAAACCGTTGAATTCGCCAACACAGATCAGAGAATCAAACACAAGAAATGCAAAGATAAACAGCACACAGAAAAACAAATCAGAAACTCAGTGAGAGAAAGAAGAAACCTGGAGGGGAGAGGGGTCTGCTCCAATGAATAGAGGCTGTAGATCCAGGACTGAGGCTGTAGATCCAGGACTGAGGCTGTAGACCCAGGACTGAGGCTATAGACCCAGGACTGAGGCTGTTGGCTGTAGACCCAGGACTGAGGCTGTTGGCTGTAGATCCAGGACTGAGGCTGTAGACCCAGGACTGAGGCTGTTGGCTGTAGACCCAGGACTACAGCCTCTGTAGACCCAGGACTGAGGCTGTAGACCCAGGACTGAGGCTGTATATCCAGGACTGAGGCTGTAGATCCAGGACTGAGGCTGTATATCCAGGACTGAGGCTGTAGATCCAGGACTGAGGCTGTAGACCCAGGAATGAGGCTGTTGGCTGTAGATGCAGGACTGAGGAGGCTCCCAGAAGTGGATGGGGGATTTAGAGCACAGATCCGGGCTGAGGTCGACTTGTTCACAGGTGCAGATAAAAGAGGCCAGTCTCAGGGTCCCATCCTCACCCCAGCAAAAAGACAATGGGACAGCGGGTGAATAGCAATGAACAGTCTACAGCTGAAATCATAATGAAGACACAAAATGAAGAAAGAGTGGAGAGGACAGTGCCGTTATCACACTTCTCCCAGCAAAGTGTCTCCATATGTCGGACTGACAATGTGTTTTTTTGATTTAAGATTTATATTTTGAAGTCATACCTACTGAGCCACACACTGAAGGAGGGCATTTTTTAAGCCTGGCCTTGAACATAGAGACTGTGTCCGCCTCCTGTCCACACAAACACACACACACACATTCACAGACACACACAGGACAGGACGTGGATGGGGAGCTGATTCCACATTATAGCAGCTTGGTCACTAAACACAATCTAAACGAAGGGCGCATAATACGGCTCCACAATAGTCAGAAGTTATATGTGTAAGTATGATAGACAAAAGCTCGACACGTCTCTTCTGTCGACTGAAATGTAACCAGCACTTCTCCTGAGCCGCAACAATACGCAGCTAAACATCGATGGCGCCCGGATCCATTGTCTCGGTGTCGGCACGCCATCGGAGTGGTGCGTCTGAATGACTCCGGCTCGCTCCCACAACAAAGGCCAAACGTTCGGCGGCGGATTATCAGCGCGGCGCACACGGCCTGTTGAACGTGGAGGGCGCATTAGCATGTGAATACTAATCAAGCCGTCTTCATTTCCTTTTCCTGTGGCGGCAAAACGTGAGCTCAAAGCAAAGCCAATCAAGGAGTGCTTCTACAGAGGGATCCTGTGTGTGTGAGTGTGTGTGACGGTGTGTGTGTGTGTGACGGTGTCTGTGTGTCTGTTTGTATGTGTGTGTCTATGTGTTGTACAGGTATATTTATGTGCGTGTGTGTCTGTTTGTGTGTCTGGGTGGTATACATGTTTCTGTATATGTGTGTGTCTGTGATTACGCGTGTTTCTGTGTACATGTGTGTCTATGTATAGTTCATTTGCCTGTATATGTGTGTGTGTGTGTGTATATGTGTGCGTGTGTATGTGTGTGTGTGTGTTATGTATCTGTGTGTCCATGTGTTGTACATGTGCCTGTATGTGTGTTTCTGTGAATGTGTGTGTGTGTTTGTTTAGTACCTTTGCCTGTGTGTGTGTGTATGTACGTGTGTGTGTGTATGTAAGTGTGTCTACGTCTTGTACATGTGCCTGTATAGGTGTGTGTCTGTGAATGTGTATGTGTGTGTATGTCCATGTGTGTCTTTGTGTTGTACACATCTTTGTTTTTATGTGATATGTTTGCCTTAACCTGGACCATGAGTCTGTAATAAAAGTTGACGATGATGACGATGATTAATAAACGATCTCGTGTCTTATCTTATCTAAACACTCAAACTGCTCAAACACAGCTTTTGCATCAGTTCAAAGACATAGAGGACGGTGATGAAACGCACTTTCCGTGTCGTTCCAAGGGCAGACCAAGGTGACAGTGAAGGACACGTCTGTTTCTGTTATTGGCCTCGGAGCCGGCGAGCGGAGCCGCGATTGGAAGCATATATATAGGTTGTGTTCATTTCCGGACGTGTGAGATAAGGCCGGCTCCGTACTGTGAGCTGGAAGAGCGACAAGGGGGTGGTCTGTGATGGAAGAGGGGCCCCACAGAGACAGGGCCCTGGCTGCGATCGATGTGACAGACGAGTGATCCACTCTGTCGCAACCGGAAAAAAAATCTGGACAGAATCGATGCGATGTGCAGCTGAACTCGCGGCCAAACAAATCTGTGTCAGAGGAGCCGCCACGCTTTGTTGTGTTGGTCCAACGCGCCTCCACCAATGTCACTGCGGCTGGTTTTGGCAAAGGAAGGAAGCCTTTTAGATCTATTACAAAATAATTTTATTACAAATTAAAATTTGCATTGTTTTTTACTTTTTGGTCTAAACTTGCCCTTTGTAAAGCGCGGAAACCTGTGTAGTAAAATGTGTTACTTTTATCTTTGTGCAGCACTTTGGAAATATGTTTTATAAAATGTGCAATGTAAATAAGTGTATTGTATTGTATTGGATTTTTGAGTGTCCAAAAAAGCACTATTCAAGGAATATATGTTTTTTATTTTATTTACATCGGAATTTTCCACAGTTTGGCGTGACAATCAAGTAACAATACGGTTAATGTCGTCCTCAGGTGTGTACATAGGGAATGAAAACATATTGATTGAAACTTTAAACAAACCAGTAAACTGTCAAGTATATACAGTGCCTTGCGAAAGTATTCGGCCCCCTTGAACCTTTCAACATTTCGCCACATTTCAGGCGTCAAAACATAAAGATATACAATTATTATTTTTTGTCATGAATCAACAAGTGGGACACAATCGTGAAATGGAACGAAATTTATTGGATAATCTAAACTTTTTTAACAAATAAAAAACTAAAAAGTGCGGCGTGCAATATTATTCGGCCCCTTTACTTTCAGTGCAGCAAACTCAGTCCAGAAGTTCAGTGAGGATCTTTGAATGATCCAATGTTGTCCTAAATGACTGATGATGATAAATAGAAAGCACCTGTGTAATCAAGTCTCCGTATAAATGCACCTGCTCTTTGATAGTCTCAGGGTTCTGTTAAAAGCGCAGAGAGAACCATGAAGACAAAGGAATTGATTTGATACAAAAAGATTTCCCAAGCTTTAAACATCTCAAGGAGCACTGTGCAAGCAATTATATTGAAATGGAAGGAGTATCAGACCACTGCAAATCTACCAAGACCCGGCCGTCCCTCCAAACTTTCATCTCAAACAAGGAGAAGACTGATCAGAGATGCAGCAAAGAGGCCCATGATCACTCTGGATGAACTGCAGATAACTACAGCTGAGGTGGGAGAGTCTGTCCATAGGACAACAATCAGTCGTGCACTGCACAAATCTGGCCTTTATGGAAGAGTGGCAAGAAGAAAGCCATTTCTCAAAGATATCCATAAAAAGTCTTGTTTAAAGTTTGCCACAAGCCACCTGGGAGACACACCAAACATGTGGAAGAAGGTGAAACCAAAATCGAACTTTTTGGCCACAATGCAAAACGTTATGTTTGGCGCAAAGGCAACACAGCTCATCACCCTGAACACACCATCCCCACTGTCAAACATGGTGGTGGCAGCATCATGGTTTGGTTCTGCTTTTCTTCAGCAGGGACAGGGAAGATGGCTAAAATTGATGGGAAGATGGATGGAGCCAAATACAGGACCATTCT